CAGGGCAAAACAGGACGAGCTTTTGGGTCTTCTGGGTGAAACCCAGGGCGGCATCTCTGCCAGTGGAGGCACAGAGCCAGCAGGGACCCCCCGACAATCCACCCCGACATGGGTACCGCAGCCTGGCAGGAAAGAATTAAAGGCAGAAATAATTAATGCTCATCAGCCAGGTTTCACAGAAAGGAGGGCTGACGAGTGGAACCTGACACAGCTCTGCAGAGCTCAGGTAGCTGTCGGATCAGGATGCTTTAAAGGTGCAACGATCCGAGCAGGGAAAAAGAAGGTAAAAAAAAGAGAAATATTAAAAAAAAAATAAAATTCAGTAAAACCCATGATGCTCTAAAGCCACTGCCCGCCTCTCGGCGTACAAGCAGAGTGTTCCTGCAAAAGGGGAGGGAACTGCTGACGTTCAGACACCACTGGTTTCAAAAATAAATCGCGTGTCCATCTCGTGACATGAGGAACCGGGGACAGGCAGAGCCACTGCCCGTTAAATGACGCTAACGATGCCCTAAACACAGCTCCCAGTGAACCACACGCCTCTCCGCCTTCCTCTTCCAAAGCCTCGAGTGCTTTGGGGTGCCAAGGAGGACCCAAAGCAACGTGCGAGCGGCGGCATCGCCGAGCCCCGCGCCGCGTGCCGCCCGGCAAAACCGGCCCCGCCGGTACCAGCACGAAGGAACGTCCCATTCAAGTAGCCAGAAGGAAGTTAAACGAGCAGAGGCGCGTCCGCCGGAGCAATTTCAAGCCAACGAAAGATGATTGAGAGATAAATAAAGTCTCCGAATAAAAACAGTTATTATCCGCACGTGAGAGGAAGAATAAAAATGGTGTCACGGGCACCGCGCGCCCGAAGTCCAGGGAGAGGCGGGGCCCCGATGCCGGCTCTGCCCCGAGCGGCAGCGGCTCCCCCAAAATCCCAGCGCCACGACAACGGGCAGAGCGAGGATTCCTCCCTAATTACAGAGGGGAAATTAGCTTCGGGCCCTTCGCGCCGGGCGCCTGCGGGTGCTGAAGTCTGAGGTTAAACGGCTTTAAACTAAAGGCCCCCAGCACCCGAAGGGCAGGATGCCTTGGGGGAAAAGCCTCTGGCTCGGAGCCCGCGTGCTTCTTCCCTCGGGAAAGGGGAGCTGGGCTGAGGAATCTGTCTCTCCCGGGCTCCCTCTGGGGCACGGCCGCGTGGGGAGAGCGCGGCTCGTTTGGGAGCACTGAAATGACACCCATTTTCTGGAGCAGCAGAGAAGGGCCCGGGGTTCACTTCACCAGGTGAACATCACCGTCTTCATCCAGAGCAGCGGCAGTTTCATCTCAACACAGCTGGCAGGGCAGAGGAACAACAACACCGCGGTAGCAAGCGGGTTTTCTCCACTGCTGGGGATATTTCACGGAGGCATCCGGCCACCGGTCTCTGCCTTGGGACCAGCTGGCTGACACTGAGCAATAAAACCACAATTAATCAGCACCACCTAACGAGATCTGGTGCCTTTTAGGGAACGCATGATGTGTGTGAAGTGAAACTGGAAGGGTTCTCCTCACCCAAGGAGGTGTGCAACCGAAAAACTCGGGAGAACTCCAATTTCTGGCTTGCGACACAGTGAAAGTAATAAAAAGGCCTGTTTGGTTCCCAAAAAGGGGGTGCGGCTGCTGGTTACCAATGATTTTTGGCAGCAAGTGTCGCAGCGGTTTGATTTGGGATGGAGAAACGCAGCTGGTGATGTGAACCCTGGGGACACAGTGACCTTCGAGGAGCTTTTGGGATGGTGGTGCTCGTCCCGCAGCGCGATGTCCTTTGCTGGAGCTCCAGATGGTTTTGGTATGGTATCAAAAAAAAAAAAATGTCCTGAAATTTGCAGCTGGCCACGTCACACACTTCTCAGGAGCCCTGGAGGGGTCCCGGTCCGAGCTCCCTCCCCCAGTCTGGAGAGGAGTCTCAAGCAGAGCCCCCCGAGGGGTCTGGCACCCACCACCGGTGGATCCGTGGCCGCCCGCGCTCCGCTGGAGCTCACGTTCTGGCAGTGCTCCTCCTTTGGGGACGTTTCCTGGGAACGTGGCCCCTGGCCGCTTGCCACACCGAGCCCCCCATGCTGTCGGGGTGGACGTCAGCATCTGGAGAAGTTACTGAAACCTCCAGAACCTTGGGAGGATGGAGCTTCGGGTTGTCTCCTTTCTCCTCCCTCAGGCAGGCGAAACTTCAGCAATGCTTCGGGGAAGAGACACTAGTGTCTCCACCACGGGACCATCACCTTCCTCGAGGGTGGTGGGTGCCAGGCAGGGCTCTCCCACCGCGCCATCACCACCCTTCCCACAGCACCAAAGCCAGGAGCCTCCCTACAGGCCAAAGTCTTCACAGAATCGTGGAATGGTTTGAGTTGGAAGGGACCTTAAAGACCACCCACTGCCACCCCCATATGCCCTGGGCAGGGACACCTCCCACCAGACCAGGTTGCTCCAAGCCCCCTCCAACCTGGCCTTGAACCCCTCCAGGGATGGGGCAGCCACAGCTTCTCTGGGCAACCTGGGCCAGGCTCTCACCACCCTCACACCAAACAAGTTCTTCCCCACAGCTCAGCTCAATCTCCTAACTTTTGGTTTAAAACCCTTCCCCCTCTTCCTAGAGCTGCCCTCCCTGATCCAGAGTCCCTCCCCAGCTTTCCTGGAGCCCCTTGAGGGACTGGAAGGGGCTCTAAGGTCTCCCCAGAGCCTTCTCCAGGCTGAACCCCCCCAACTCTCTCAGCCCCCCCTCACAGCAGAGGGGCTCCAGCCCTCCCAGCATCTCCATGGCCTCCTCTGGCCCTGCTCCAACAGCTCCATGTCCTTCTGATGTTGGTGGTCCCAGAGCTGGACACGATGTTCCAGGTGGGGTCTCCCCAGAGTGGAGCAGAGGGACAGAATCCCCCCCCCTCGCCCTGGTGGCCACGCTGCTGGGGACACAGCCCAGGGTGTGGGGGGTTTCTGGGCTGCCAGCCCACGTTACTGGCTCACATGGAGCTTCTCACCCACCAACACCCCCAAGTCCTTCTCCTCAGGGCTGCTCTCCTTCCCTCCTCCCCCCAACCTGGGTTTGTCCCTGGGATTGCCTCAATCCAGGGGCAGGACCTTGCACTTGGCCTGGTTGAACTTCATGAGGTTGTCACCGTCCCACCTCTCCAGGTCCCTCTGGATGCCATCCCTTCCCTCCAGTGTGTCCCTGTGCCATATGGCTTGGTGGCATCGCCAAACTCTCTGAGGGTGCCCTCCATCCCACCAACCATGTCATTGATGAAGATGTTGAAGAGCACTGGTCCCAGTACCGACCCCCGAGGGACACCACTGCCCACTGGTCACCACTGGGACACGGAGCCGTTGACCACCACCCCTGGAGTGTGGCCACCCAGCCGGTTCCGTCCATCCCCCGAACCCCGTCTCCCCGGTTTGGGGGCGCGGGCGGGATGGTGCCGGGAGCCCAGGAGCCCGGTGACGCCGTTGCTCCTCCCGGGGCCGTGACCGGCTGGAGGCGGGTGGGAGGACGGGGGCGGCCCCGATTCGACTCAGCACCGATTCGGCCTCGCGGTTCCGGGGGGAGAAGCACCCGGGCGGCGGTTCCGGTGCCTCCCCCGGCGGGGACGGGGGGGTCTCTCCCCCGGGGGCCCGCTCGGCCTCAGCAACCCCCCCCCTCCCCCGGAGCCAAACCCGGTG